AGAGTGCGGAAAAGGGCGATGAAAACATCGAGGAGAAGGGGTCGGAAAGAATTTTCACCTAGAGGGTGGAAAGAGGATTCGAAAAAAAAAAATTTGAAGAAAGTAAGAGTTTTTGGATAATTTACTCTTAATTATGTCATAACTAAGCGACTGTCGGTCGATTGAGGTGAGATTCTGGATCGCTAATGGTTCGAGATGGAAGCTGTGTCCATTCTTGCTTCTCTGGTTGCATTTCTGACGCATCACAGAACTCGCAATCTTTTTGGTTCCCTCGATGTCAGGAAACTAAAATACCATTATTTACTATGAAAACTGTTTGCTGAATGACCTCGAGCAGTGTTGCCCTCATATGATGAAAAATGCCCACTGTGAACATCAGAACATCTTCCTCCGTGTGGTTGTTGCTCCGTCAATAGTTCCTCTGCGTGGGGTTGAGTTTTCACGTGCCTGAAATGGAAGCTTTCGCTTCCTGATAGGTGCAGTGCTTATTCTTTAGGAGATGGCACCCCTTATTAGTAACACGCATCATTTACTCCCGCCCTTGTTATGCCATGTCCCCACACTTTCTGAAATCTCATGCTCATAACTCACTGAAACGTTAAATCTCCCTCGTACTCAAATACGTCATGTTCCTTACTTTCTGACAAGCACCGGCTACCAATAAAGAGGACACTTTTTCTCGGCCATTCGGACCCCGTACCTTCGTGTCAAGGCTAAGTCCTTCCGCCACTCGTTCTTCTGACGCTGAACTACCCCCAGTTGCCCGCGCCCAGTATCTTCTTCTTGAGAAGCTTTTGGATAGTTTCCGTAAGTGACAAGATTATTTTTTATATGTCTGCTTGCGTTTCACGCCCGTTGTTTTGTGCTTCTTAAAGAGCCATGTTTGGTTATTTCCCGACTGATTCCTGGGGGAGGGGTGGTGGGAGGGAGGGAGGCATGTTTCGCTAAATATTAAAGTTTCCCTGGACGCCACCTTTAGAGCCTGTATCGCATATTTGTGCTATAGATGGAATAGCTGGGTGGTTTAAAGCTAGAAAGTACTCATAACGACTGTTGGTTAACAAACACTTAGAAGCAAGAATTTGCAAACAAATACAGCCGCAAGAGCAATTCCTGATGATTTCAGTGGTGATAAACAGCATATGGTAGTTGTACTAGTGATAAGACGTGAGGATAAGGTACTTTGGAAGGCCTTAACATTAAATGGAACTAGGAATAGGTAGGTAATAAGCCGGAGCAGTGCGGTAGATGACGTAAAGATATCGTCCGAATATTGTGCAGAATAGACACACAATAATTGACCAGCGCACGGGCTGCCAGTGCGAAGATGCGTTTTTTGCATAGTTCCCCGCAGATGTTTGTCGCTAATGGCACTGTTTTTTCCGATAGATGCTTCCAGTTAAAAGAATTCCATACTGGCCGCCAGGACTGTCAGGAAAAACATCTCTTCAAAATTCTGGTCTTTTTGTTTTTCAGGTTCTCGAGTTAGCAACTTACCCGAGAAAAACTTTGGCGCCACCTGCGTGGCTACCACGCATACTCGGAGTCTGGGTTTGAGCCCACTGAGACTTACGTGGGCGGGGAACATCCCCTTAAAATTTTAATTTCCTAGCCTTTCTGGTTCTCGAGTTAGCGAGTTACTAGCAAAAACTTTCAGGGGCCTGTACGTGGGTACCACGCGGGTAAGAGCGTTCATTTTGGGGATTGGGGCTCGTTCGTCCATGTAGATTAAGTTCCCAAAGTTTCAGCCCTGTGGCTTTTGTAGGTCTTGAGATGAAGAACCATGACAGACGCACACACGGACACACAGACATACACACAGACAAGCTCTCGTCAGTATGTGTTTTCTGCATTGCATAGCTGCAAAAAACGCATAAAAAGTGTAAATTTTTGCTATCTCTTTTCTTCCCTTCCTTTTTCTTCCTGTCTATTTTTAATAAATTTTTGTTACAAAGTTTCGTCTAATTCGAGAATGTAGCTTTTCCTCTAGGGACCCTATCAGATGAAGTGGTTGGTAAAACAGTTTTCTCTTTGCTGACGTGTTTCCTTCGGGGCTGCCTTCGCTTCATTATTTCAAAATATATTTGCAGTACGAATCAAGCAACCAAGTACGGGATTAAATCGCACAACGTGCGAATCGAATTCGAAGCAGTCGCCGAAAGTGATACGGTAACGCGACAAAATACGGTGGCGGAACATGGTGCAGACGCTGCAGCTCATGTGGTGGTACAGTATGACGAGGTAGTCGGACACAACGTGAGAAATGGAACTGATACGATAAGTGCTGCCGTAAACGGACTTAACACGGTAACAGAACACGGCAAAGCGGCTGGACAGCAAGCTGTGATCGGGCGTGATATGGCAGC